AAAGTCTCTTCTAACATTCTTCTTGGTCTTTTGTTTATCCTTTTTCTTTGTAATGACTTTTGGCATTCTTCATGAATGAAGTTCTTGATATCCTCCTCCAGCTCATCTTGTCTTCACTCATTTAGCTCAAGGCTTCAAACCTGTTCCTGAGATGGTCTTTAAGTTCTGGTGGGAAAGACTTGTGGTCAAACTTAATTTCTTGTGGATTTGATTTGATTTTCTTTAGCTTCCGTTTGAACTTGCCGATGAGTAGTTGATGTTCTGTTCCACAATCAGTACCTGGCCTAGTTTACGTAGGTGATATTGTATTTCTTTAGCAGTTTCTTCTGAAGATATAGTCAGATTCCTGTGTAGACTAATAGCTGAAGTCCCTGTGTATAGTAGCCATATATATTTTCTACTAAAGGTGTTTGCAATGAATAGGTCATTGATTTTACAGAATCCTATCATTCTATTTACAGCCTTATTTCTGTCACCAAGTCTGTGCTTTCTGACTACTGATCCTTCTTCTCTGTTCCTGTCTTTTTTACTCCATTCACCCTTTATTATCAAAGTATCTTGGTTTTCTGTTTCATCGATTTCTGACTGCAAAAGTTGGTAGAAGTCATCTATTTCTTTCTCTTTTAACCTGGTTTTTGGTGTATATATTTAAACAATGGTGATATTAACATGTCTTCCTGGGATGTGTATAGATATTGTCCTTTTACTCACAACTTTATATTTCCAGGTGAATCTAGAAATGGTGTTTTTAACTAGAAAAGTGACTTATTTTTCCTCAGCTTTTCATCTCCAGCATAGTAGATCATATGAGTATCTGATTCAAAATGTAACCATTTCATTTTGCCAATGCCTAGTTTGTTAATATTTATGCATTCCATTTATTCCTTAACGATCTCCAATTTTCTCACATTCATATTTCTCACATTCCACATTCCTGTCAGTAGTGTCAGTTCGAAACTGTTCCTCTTCCTTCATGATTCCCAGTGAGAAGGTTCTACATGTGGTGCCTAATCTGCTAGTCTACTCTAAATATGCTGTTGATAGAAAGAAAGTACTTGCAATAAATAAATCATTGAGTGTACAAAATCCAATCATTCTGTCTCCAGCCCCATAGTTCTATCGCCAAGCCTATAATCTCCAACTACCAGTATTTCTTCCTTGTTTCTGACTTTTTCATTCCAGCTGCCAATTATTAGCAATGAATTTTGACTGCATATTCATTCTATCAGATTCATACTGGAGATGTTGGTACAAATCCCTAATTTCTTCATTTTTGGCTTTGGCTGTTGCCATGTATATTTTTTTAAGGTTATATGAATTTTATTTGATGTTGAATCATTTATTCTCAAGTTTTTGTTTCTTCAGTATCTTCTGGGAGATCTTTTTATTCTGGTCTACCTTCTCTTCAGGTTTAGGAACAATACACTCCATTTCCATAAGGGTCATCTCAATATGGCGGGGGTAGGGGTGGGTGGGAGAGGAGGAATGTCATGTAGGGGTTAATCCGACCATGAGCTCTCAATATGGCAGTGCATCTTGGGAGCTTTGTTCACTTGGATGTGCTCGATGACCAGAGAATCGACATCTAAACTCTTAAGTTTAGAATTACTCTCTGCATTTTTAAGCATATGCAGCAAAGACTTGGCACTCTTTTTGGGCCACTGACCTTGTGTCCCACACTGAGCACACCTTCTAACTCCACTATTACAACATCAGAATAGTACATACTGCTCTTTCCAAGTGAAATCTTTCAGATTATTTGGTGGCTTTCCAGATATACATACCCTTGATGGTCTGGACAGTTTCCCAGGTGTTCTTAAAATGGACTTAGAGGTTTAAGCCTCTTGATTTGCATGATTTTATGGGATTTTCCAGGTCGAGCGAGTAGCAAACCGTTTTGGGAGATTACCTGAAGCCGCTCACGGGAAAAAGGAAGAGCAGAGACTTACGTGGCATGTATATTTGAACAACAGTTGTATTGACTAGTTTACCTTCTATGTAATAGAGCGTATCTTATCTCTCACATTATACTTCAGGATAGACTTTGAAGTGGTCTTTTATATTATCAGTGCAGAACCATTCTTCTTCAATTTTTCATATGTGCATAGTAGGTCATGTGATTATGTGACTTAAAATGGCCAATGCCAGTTCATCTCAGCTTGCTAATGCTTAGAATGTCCATCTTTATATGCTCTATTTCTTTTTTGATAGCTTCCAATTTTCCTATATTCACACTTTGTACATTCCATGTTCTTATTATTAATTGATGTTAGCAGCTCTTCTCATTTTTTGTCTTGTCTTCTTAAGTGGTCATTCTCTAGTAATATGTCTAATAAATATTCCTCTAGAAGGACTGATCATCCACTTCCTAAATAATTGGACTTTGAATATGCTATGAGTAAGAATAGATAGGTATATAATCAATTTTTTAGCAAGTGGATAAGGAGTAGTTGACGGAATATTAATTGAAATCTTATTTACTCTGTAAGAAAGAAGACAAGATATTTATGAAACTCTAGCAAAAGTTGTACAAGAGTATTGAGTGGAATCCAAGTTTCTAGTGTTAACTGTTAGAAATGGAAGCAAAATTTGAAGTGGCCTTGTTCTGAGTGGAATTGTATCTCTCCAGAAATACAAGTTGAAGAACTAACTTATGTACTTGTTAATATGAACTTGTTTGCAAATAGGTTTTTTTCATTTCTTTGAATGTGTTAATTATTGACAATGTTTACCTCAGTAGGGTGGATCCTAATCCCTTTTAAGCAATGAAACATGCATGGAGACAAAGTCACTCAAAAGGAAAACAAAAGTCATATGAAGATGTTTCCAAAAGTCAAAGTGGTTGTTGTTATGTGCTGTAGAGTTGGAATAACTCATAGATGACCCTCCAACAGATTTTCAGAGACAGGGAGAATGTGCTCCTGGGCGGAAGGGAAGCCTGGAAGCTGCACACCGGGGGAAGTCACCTCAGATAATAGCGAAGAGGCATCTTTCAGGTACACAGGAAAAACCGGCTGACTCTGAGAAGAATGGGAATCCCAGAACATTTAATTGTGCTAATGCAAAACCTATACTTGGACCAAGAGGCAGCAATCAGAACAGAGCAGGGTAACACTGCATGGCTCAAAATTGGGAAGGGTGTACGCCAGGGATGCATCCTGTCTCCATACCTATTCAACATGTATGCAGAGCAGATTATCCGAGAGGCGGGGCTCTATGAGGAGAATTGTGGCATCAGGATTGGTGGAAGATCTATTAACAATCTGCGTTATGCAGATGACACAACCCTGCTTGCTGAAACTGAGGAGGACCTCATGCACTTGCTGCGAAGGGTCAAGGACTGCAGCCTTCAGTATGGACTGAGGCTCAATGTCAAGAAGACAAAGATTCTCACCACTGAACCAATTGGCAGCGTCAGATTGTTCACAGCTTCAGTTTGCTCAGCTCCACAGTCAACACTCTTGACACCAGCAGTCAGGAAATCAAAAAGCGTATCGCGATGGGAAAGTCTGCTGTTAGGGACCTCTCTAAAGCACTCAGGAGCAACGGTGTATCTCTGGAGACTAAGGTGTGCTTGATACAGGCCATGGTCTTTGCAATCGCTTGTTATGCATCAGAGAGTTGGACAATGACTAGGGAGGACAGAAGGAGAGTGGATGCTTTTGAGCTGTGATGCTGGAGAAGAGTACTGAATGTACCATGGACTGCCAGGAAAACAAACAGATTCATCTTGGAGAGGATTAAACCAAGCTACTCCTTGGAGGCAAGGATTCTGGGGCTTCGTCTGACATACTTTGGACATGGTGCCAGGAGGGACGACATCATGCTTGGGAGGGTGGAGGGACAGCGCAGGAGGGGAAGACCCTCTATGAGATGGATTGATTCGGTGACTGGGATAATCGGGATGGGTGTGTCAGAGGCAGTGCGGTTGGAGCAGGATAGAGCAGGGTTTAGGGCTGTTGTGCATAGGGTCGCTATGAGTCGCAAACGCCTCGACGGCACATAACAACAACAACAACAACAACATAAATTGCACAGGAGAAGGTTGGCTATCTTCCTTCCAGGTTGTGTGTTCAAACTGCCTGCCTTTGGGTTAGGAGCACAACTCTATTTGAAAAAAAAAAAAGCTGGATGATACGAAGAAAAGTATTTCTTTAGGAAAAACTAGAAGACCATGAGCCTGTTGACACCCTAATTTAAGACTTTAAACCTTCAGAACTCTGAGGCACTACAAAGATTTATGTTTTCTTTCCTAACAGTACATAGTTGTTTAGTGCACTGGAGAAAAGTGACAAATATTTGTACTATAACAAGAATATAATTGTCTAGGGCTTACAACCAATATAAATATCACTTTTTGAATCAGGATTCCTGTATTAAAAATATAACTAAAATTATTTATTTCTAAACAACCAAATGATGAATGATATATAGAAAGTATACTACCAAAATCTAAAAATATGCAGGAAAGGATTACTGAAGTGATAATTTTCTTAAAAGCAGCATAGAATATCTTTAACCAGAAGAATGCCCTTTGTTACAATAAAAAAATTCCAGTCTTCCATTCAAAATATAATGGGACTTGAATAGATATAAATTATTTTACAAATCTATAATATGTTCATTTTCTGTATGGGGATTCACAGAATTCTTTTATAATTTTATTGGTACTTGGAACTTGCTTTTGACACTGCTTTTTAAAGATCAAGATGCTAATAGTCAAAATTTAATGTATGTGCACCAAATTGAAAGAAGAATCAAGAAAGGAGAAAGATATTTTTCATGGCTCTTACATTTTTCAATAAGTATTGAAATACTTACTGCTATTAACTCTTGATCTAGTAACATTGATCTGAAAATGTGAATAAATTTTTTATTCAACCATTATGCCTGTAAAGCATCTGTAAAAGTTTATTCATTATTCATACTTTTAAATTGCTATATTTAAAATATACTTTAAGATATTTTTATGAAAGATAGATTTTTTTTTCTTTACACAGGGAACAACCTATGAGGATGAAATGAATAATATTAAGAATATTATTACAAAAATAAATGAAATAATGGCTCATAATTCACCAGTCTTGATTATTCAGAAATGGATTCGTGGCTTCTTAGTTAGGAAAAAATGGAGGTAAATTTTATTTTCTCTGCTATGTATAACAAAATAAAATTAAATGAAAATAAGGATAAGGAGACAATTCTTTTTCAATATTTTTTATCTTATGTCAAAATAGTATTTTGTAAACTGATGTAGTTTTAATGAAAATATCACAGTATATGTAGGAATGTATGTTTTCATATTCCGAAAACTTAAGAATTTAAAATATTAAATTTTATTTTAAATTTACCATGTGGATAAGAATCAATAAAAATTTATTAAATCATTGTTTAGAGAAATCTCCGATATTCATGAACTTAAAAATATTAGTAGAAACACATATTTAATTTCTTTCATGTAATAGTTTATTATAATTGAAATACATGACATGAAATATATGATGCTATGTAACAAAAATAAGAACTATGAAACATATATGTCATTTTATATTCCATCTGTGTAAGAGGATTTTTGTTGTAACATCTTTCACTAGATTGAACTTTACTATTGTTTATTAAGTTGCCTGATTTCCTTTAATTCCTAGCATTCTTTACCAGTGTATGACTTTTGCAAATAAAGGGAAATTATTCTAGGTAGAATCTCTCAATATTTTACATGGATGTGATAAAATAGGATCCTATACCATCAATTTATATATATTGTTGTAGTTGTTGTTATGTGCCATCGAGTTGCCTGCTACTCATAGTGACCCTGTGTACAACAGCCCTATACCCTTCTCTATTCTGTGCCAATCTCACTGTCTCCGACACACTTACCCCCATTACCCAGTCACTGAATCAATCCATCTCATTGAGAATCTTCCTCTACTGCACTGTCATTCCACCCTCCCATGTATGAAGCCCCTCTCCAAGAACTGGTCCCTTCTTGCAATATGTCTAAAGCATGTCAGAAAAAGCTTCAGAATCCTTGCCTCCAAGGAGCATCCTGGCTTCACCCTCTCCAGGACAAACCTGTTAATTTTCTTAGCAGTTCATGGCATATTCAATACTCTTTTCCAACTCCACAGCTCTAAGGCATCAATTCTCCTTCTATCATCCCTAGTCATTGTCCAGCTCTCTGATGCATAGGAAATGATGACAAAGATCATGGCCTGTATTAGGTGCACCTTAGTCTCCAGACTGATATCGTTGGTCATCAGTGCTTTAGAAATGTCTCTAACTGCAGACTTTCCCACTGCAATGCATCTTTTAATTTCCTGGCTGCTGGTTCAAAGGGTGCTGACTGTGGAGCCAAGCAAATTTAGCTGTGAACAATCTCAATCTCTTTGCTATGCATCATGATGCTGCCAATAGGCCCAGTTTTCTTGATATGGAGCCTCAATCCATACTGAAGGCTGCAGTCCTTGACCTTTCACAGAAAGCGCTTCAGGTCCTTCCACAGCAAGTGCTTCAGGTCCTCCTCAGTTTCAGCAAACAGGGTTGTGTCATCTACGTAATGATGATAACTCTTCCTCCAATCCTGATCCACATTTCTCCTATTAGAGCCCAGCCTCCCTGATAATCTGTTCTGTGTAAAGATTGAAAAAGTATGGAGATAGGGCACATTCCTGGTGGACTCCCTTCCCAATTTTGGACCATACGGTGTTTCCTTGCTCTGTTTTGATGACTGCCTCCTGGTTCAAGTATAGTTTTCACATTAACACAATCAAGTGTTCTGGAATTCCCATTCTTCATATATATATCTCATATCAAACACCAAATATATGAGAGAATAAACATTTTTATACACATACTTCCAAATACTATGTCATAAAATTACAAGCCAGATTTGTAATATTGAGTCTCTCTATGGGAAAAAATATTTAAAAAGTATTAAGATAGAATGGAAGGAATTAGCAGATATTAATTTGTTGTTGTGTTGTTGTTGGTTGCTATTTAGTCAAGTACAACTCATAGTGACTCTATGAACAAAAGACCTAATGCCTTGTCGTTTCTCCAAGTTCATAGAGTTTCCAGGGGCATGTGGTTTAGGAACTGGATGCCACTCCTGCTTCCAAACCTGTTTTGCAACTGGGAGCTCCACCAAAGACTGTCCATGTTGGGAAACCATTATGGTATTTGATACCCCAATGGCACAAGGCTTAGCATCATAGAGAACCCAGGTTACTTCATATAACACACTGACAAAGAGTAATGTGCAATGTGGAATAATTTTCCTCCAGATATAACATCACTAGTCTCACTTAGTATTGGTTAAGTGTAATCTAGTTGAATTTGACTCACAGTAAAGTTTGCACAAAAGACCTGCAATCTTTTCTGTAACTGGCATAATTCCTATAAGTTTATGGAGTATGTAGAATTTCCAGAGACATCTAGGTTAGGAAGTTGATGCCACTCCTGCTTCCCACCATTCATTCTGGAAGCTTATCCAATCATTGTACATAATGGGTAATCATTATTGTATTTGACACAACTATGGAACAGTGTTCAGCCTCACAGCAACTCCAAGTTTTTTAGCACAGCAAATAGACAAATGATTGCTGTGCCTTTAAAGAATATTTTTTCTAAAATTAATAATTTTGGCCTGAGATTCCTACAGGATATTAATGCCACAGCCTCTATCAAGCCTCTACCCTTGGTCAAAGATAGTAATTTAGCATAAAAAAATAATTGGTAGACACTGAATTATTTCAGAAATTACCATATCAAAAGTTAATGATACTGAAGGAAGAAGCCTAGACTACACTAATATAGACTAAACTAATTATGGAGAAAGATTGAAACTATCAATGACTTCATCTTAATTAGATCTAAAATCAACACCCTTTGTACCAGCAGTCAGGAGATCAGGATACGTATTTCTCTGAAAATGTCTGCAATCATTGACCTCTCCAAATGACTGATGAACAGTGACATACTTTTGAGAACTAAGTGTGCTTGATTGAGTCCACGGTCTTTTCAATCACTAGCCATGCTTCTGCGAGTTGAATAATTAGTAAGGAAGGAGGAAAAATTAATACTTTTGAGTTTTGGTGTTGTAGAAGGGTACTAAACATACCTTTGTTCACCAAAAGAACAAACAGATATATCTTGGAAAAAGTGAAGCCAGAGTGCTCCTTGGAGAAAAAGAGAGCAAAGCTTCATCTCACGTACTTTGGATATATTGCTTAGGAGAGGCTTGCCCCTAAAAAAGGACATCGTTATTGGGCAGGTAGAGGGTTAGTGAAAAAGAGAGACATCCCTCAAGCAGATGGATTAAAACTGAGATGACGTGGATGGCACAGGCTAGAACAAGGTTCTGATCTATTGTTCATAGGGTCACTATGTTGGCACTAAACAACAACAGCAGCAACAACCAGGTGTCAACCCCAGTAGAAGGTGAGCAGTCTTGAGAAAGTAGATGGTTTTGAAAGTGAGGAAAATCCTTAATAAGATAAACTAATATAGTGACTGTCATAATGGGGTTAAGTACTGCAGTGACTATGAGGTTGGCAAAGGATCTTGTAGAGTTTTCATTTACTGTACACAGGGTAGCTGTGAGATGGGGCTCACTCAATGATGCTTATCAATAACTACAAAATTTCGGAGATAGAAATCAAATGTGGCTCTGAAATATATGTGCAAGGAAAAGAAATATGTAAAAAGGTAATGGGAAAATAAAGAGAGGGAGTTTGACTGAAATAAGATATAAAGAAAGAATATTTCCCCGTATTATCCTGCATATACTAATTCATAGTCTGAACAAGAGAGAAAAGAATGCGGCATGAGTAGCAAAACTGGCTATAATACAATTTCCACAACTTCTGAGAAGCATTTTGACATACTTTTCAAATCAAGGTCAATGGGAGCATTAGTGAATCCACCAAGAGGGAGCATTTCAAATGATCTCAAATTAAGAATGTGGAAAAACATCACAATATCGCAGGTAGTACATATTCATTTAAGTGTTTTTATCTTGTATGTTCCATTTAAATATAATATTTTATATGAAATAAATGCCTAATTGAAAGGCCTTTCATTTAGTTTAAGGAGCTCTAGTGCCATAGTATGAAAGTTGTTAGGCTGCTAACAAAAAGATCAACCATACAAATGTATCAGTGGCTCCTTTGTGAACGACGAGCAATTACCTGCCAAGATTTATAGGCTTAGAAACCCAACAGAAGGTCACTGAGTGAGAACCAGCTGGAAGGCAGAGTATTTGGTTTGGTTTGATTTGAACTTTAAGGAACTTGATGGTGTAACGGATTGCATATTGGGTTGTTAAATGAAAGATTGGTTTGAATTCACTAAGTAAGAGAGAAAGAAAGCAATCTTCTTTCATTCAGAATTGCATGGTTAGATACCCATGAGTTGCTATGATTAAAAATCAACTTTTTCTTCGTGGTTTAGTTAAACTCTCTGCTACTAATGATGGTTGTTCAAATTTACTAGCTGCTCTGAAGGTGAAACATGTGGAAATCTTCTGTAAAGATTTAAAACCTTAGAAAGGCTCTGGGCAATCTTTCTTTGTCTTAGGTGGGTTTCTTTGAATTGAAATCAACTTGATGGCTTTAAGACTGGGTTTTAGTTTAGGTTCCTAGAACTCAAGTTTTCTCTTTTAGAACCAAGACTTTTGATTATTCACGTAGCATAAGATTAAAGAACATGCTCATGGAAGCAATTCCTGTCTCTGGAGATGCAGGATATACAAGCACAATTCCAATGAATAAATTTTGAGGCAAGAAGTATCAACCATAAGAGTATTTATTACATCTATTTTATTGCCAGTGATTTTGAGCATTTTTTCATTTGTCTGTTGGCCGTCGAATATTTTCCTCTATTAAATTTTTTCTGACTTTTGCCCATTTTGTATTTATGTTATCAGTATTTTTCTTGTGGAAGTCCTGTAGGATTCTGTAAACTGTTAATATGAGACCATTGCCAAATCTTTGTTCCCAATCATTATGTTTTATTTTCACTTGCTGGAAAAGTATTTTTATGTATATAGGGATTTAGTCTTCAGAAGGTCCCATTCATCAATTTTATCCTCTCCATATTGAGCATTTCTGGCTGTATCTGGCAGGCTCTTTAAATAATAAGCTAGGCCATCTAAGCTT